ATGTTTAGTTTGTTTTCTTTTAAATTAAGAAGTTGTTGGGCCTTGGGCCCATTAGTTTTTTATTTTTAAAAGAATTGTAAGTACTTAGTTTGAGTTGCCGCCCYACTARRGGCATCTTTGTAATAWCBYATATTTAAGTTAATTATAAATAGAATGAGGGGCTGGCGACTAGGGTTATGAATCACTATCCTAGTTGACCTTCTTCTCCTTTTCTTCCCTTTCCTCTATCTATTGCTGAAATCCCCAACTTTCTCCTCTTCCTTTCACAAGAAGCTTGGCCGAATCAGCACATAAGGCTTTCTACTCAAAACATGGATTCAGAAGTTGACAATGATGCTCATGTGCACCACATTACGTCTCCCAACTTCTGACCCCATATTCTCCCCCAAGAAATCACTAAAGTTTGATCAATAAAAGAATTTTAGTTGCAATCATATAATCTTAGATTACTAGAATCCATGTTTTATATTCAAAACATGGTAAATCTCCTTTCTTCTCTCAATGTAAAATCCTTGTCATGTTGAGCACCCCACCCCCAAAAAAGTATCAAAAACTTTGATATCATGAATCTATTTCTAAAATAGTAAAATTAGATGGATGTTTACAACAATATCACCAATACTGCTTAATGTTCAGGGACATATGAATGGATGAAAAGCATTTAAATGATAGCCATTCAAAGAGGCAAAGAAGAAAAGTCATTCAAAAAGCTGCTCAAAAAAACAATCCATGCCAAACAACATTTGCAAGTGCATCCATCCTCTGAAGTAAGAACTGAAAAATGATGACTACAATCAAATCACCATCATGTATGGCTACAATCAACTGACAATATAATCAGGCCAAATATGTATAATACAGGAGTGGGAACCATAAGTAGCATCAGGTTATGATCATGCTTAAATCCCAATAGGTTTTTGTAACAACCTATTCCAAGGGTTATCAAATATACTCTCCAACTCAGGGCACTGTGGACCATCTTCATCAGGAGTCCAGTGCTCCAGCTCTCTCTCTACCTCAACAACCTGAGATTGTGATATTAAAGAGTCTGTCATAATATCTTGCCGCCTTTCACGTTGGACCCCACTTGTCAAACCATCCCAGGTCAATGGCACACCCTGACACAAGTGATATAGAATAAGATCACAAACTATCACAATGGAAGAACCGCAATAGGTTTAGCTGCCTTATCCAATAAATAACATAAACCTTATTTATTAACTGTACAGTAATTATCTGTGTAAGAATGAGATAAATCAACCAAAATCATTGAGAAAATGCAGTAGAACCTTTGCTATAACTTGTACAAGTTCTTTAGCAGGTATGATCAGAGTCTTTGAAGGAGCCTTGCTAGTAGAATCAGATATTGGCTTCTGTCCTTTGAATGAGCAATCCTTGGTTAACCTAGCCATTTTCAGGATAATTCCTGAAATTAACATGCAACTGGATATTGAGGACGGAAATGATTGAATTATAGGAAAATAATGTGTCATTTTCAAAACAAAAGTTGAAAACAATACATAAACTTGTAAGCCCTTCAATCTCCTATGCAAAAGCATTACCACTAACACATTAAAATCAGTAACACATACCAAAATCATTTTCAGCGTTTGTTGCATGAAATATCCCAGAATATATAGATCCATTTTTCAACTGGACTTCCACACGATATCCAATAAGACACATTGTCAAATAAATAAGCCGGTCACGCAAAGGATTTTCATATTCTCCAACATTGCTGCCATTTAGCACACCTGCACCAAAGAATTTTAGGGGGAGCAGCATGAGAACAAAACATATTTCCATCTATGGTGCCCAGAAACCTGTACAAGGGTGCCATATCATGCTGGACACTTCAACTTTTAGTGCAAATTCCATATCTGACACATTGTCCAGCAGCGTTGCATGAGCTCTCCTAAATGAACGTGTCTACGTCAGACACTCATCAGAATCCAACACTCCACATTGAGGACAATTCTACATAACATTTCCCTTTCATCTCCAAGCTTATATGCCATAAGTGAACAACTAATATACAAGATGGATGCCATTTTTCATATCAAACATTATTTAGTAATAAAGACACCATTTTTTTTTCTTATAATAAGTAAAAAGGAAAATTATATTAAAGAAAATAGAATTTGAATGAAATCTATGTTAGACCCCCTTATGCAGGTAGATAATTTTAGAATTCAAAAATTATGAACTACTTGAAATACTATATATTTTTGATAAATGTGTCTGTGAATCCACATTTTCTCATCTTACTGAGTCAGACTCTTGGACACAGATTGGATTCTGACCTTGTCCATGCAACACCAGTGCCATATCCTTGCCATATCTAGGTAAAATGGATTTCCCTTAGCAGTGGTTACCTTTACCTGGGTTTGACTTCCCAGTGTACAGCTTGTTTTCAAGACTAGTCCCCATCTCTTCCTCAGTACAACCAGGATCAAATCAATTGGCAGAAGAGACTATATAGCTAGTTCAAGATTCATCCTTGGCTGCAACATACAATGAACCGGATATAAATTGAAAAAAAAAAAGATATACTCAAAACAAACATTACAAGCAATAAAATTACAATAATACTAAAAGGGCAGCCCAGTGCACTTCTTTGGGGGGGCGCAAATGTATGCAGCCTTACCCCTGCACATACAGAGAGGTTGTTTCCAAGATTTGAACCTTGGTCACCCTGATTGCAATGGAGCAACCCAACCGATACGCCAAGGCCCAACCTCAGTTAAATTAAAAAGATGCTAATAGCAAATAATCCACTTAGCGTATAAATAGTTAAATGCAGCTCAAATGGCATAGAATATGCAATAATAAGGTGGACAATTAGAAGCTACAAAGCATCATAAACAACAATATTGTCCTAAGCAAAGCAATTTGGCTTCCGCTTCTTGGAAGTAGAGGGGGACTCAAAACTGATCATCACTTGGGCAACTTGTGAAGTCCCTTGGATATGCAGGCACATTTTTAAGGAAATGGAATGTCTCTCAAGGGAGTTAAGCTACATTGGCATTTCTTGATTGTCATACATTCATAGTAGTCCCTATTTTTTTCATATGGTAGTAGGTAATTTATGTATCATTTAAGATAGAAGAAAAGCATGCAGTCATTGGGTGATTTGATTTTTCATTTAATTGTTAGCATGTCTATGTTTTATTGTAGAGTTGCAAGAAAGTGGTGTGGCCATGTGAATTCATCAAAACCAAATCACCCAAGCATGCACTCATTCAGTGATTTGGGTTTTAATTTGATTAGCATGCTTGTGTCTCATTGGAGGGTCACATGAAAGTGTTGTGGTCGTGTGATCTCATCGTTCAACATGTTAAGGCTACCCTAGTATTTGTAAGTTGTCATAGTAAGGTAGTATACCCTAGAAGCAATCTCTATTTTTTCATATATTAGTGGGTTGTTAGTGTGCCATTTGGGATAACAACAGGTGCACTCACTAGATAATTTGGTTTTTCATTTGATTGATAACATGTCTATGTTTTATTAGATGATCGCAAGTAAATGTTGTGACCATGTGAACACATCAAGGTTTTTAAAACCAAACCGGACAATGAACCGGTCAGGGGTCCGCAAAAAATAAAAAAAAATTAAAAAACAGCCAAAACCGTTGGACGGTTCGAACGGTTCAACTGCCCGGGTCAGCGGTTTGCTGACCAAATCAATGGTTTTTGGCGAAATAACGGTTCTGGGGTAAAACGGAACCGGTCACCTAACCGGTTCCCGGTTTTTCCGGTCCGGTCCGGTTTTGAAAACCATGGAACACATCGATAATAAATCACCTAGGCAAGCACCCATTGGGTGATTTGGTTTTTCATGTAATTGATGGCATGTCGTGTTTTATTGGAGGGTCAAAATTAAAGAATGTGACAGTGCAAACTCATTGCTCCACATATTAAGCTAGCTTTCTATTTCTTGATTGTCAAAGTAAAGGATTGGACCCTGACAGCATACCTTTCAAGGCATCTAGGTGAGGCTGGGCAAAAGGGGGATGCCATATCGCCTAGGCAATGACCTTTTTTTGAATAAAAAAAAAAAAAACCATGAATCTTAGGACAATTCCCTAGGCTCCATAGCAAGCAGCAACCATCTTTCACTATTAATTGTTTACAATCTTCATAAAACATGTATAAACTTCATTTACATAAAATCAACATATTCATAAGATGAAGAAAGAAAAAAGATTCCAGAAAATAGAGTGGTTAAGCCTTTATTTTTGTCCTAGAAAAGGAAGAAAAGAAAAGAAAGGATGAAAGAGGACGAAGAAGAAGAAAAAAATAATAATCAATATGTGTTGATTGGACAAAATTTTGAGTTGTTCCATACTTACCAGTTCAAATCTTGAAATCTTCCAGGGTTAAGGCAGTATATATGTTGATTGAACCCTAACAAATGAGAAAACTGATAAAAAGAAAGTAGTGTTTTTAACTTAAACTGAATAATTTAGTTTAATAATGTTTATTTTATTATTAAAATCTCAAAAAAAAATTAAGGATACATTGATACAAAAGTATCCAAGACCATCTTGTACAAAATATCTTTGCGATAAAGCGAGGCAAGTAGGCCACACTCCATGAGCACCTTATTGTCTAGGCACCGCCTTGACATGACAACTATGGGTGTCAATCACTATTCACTCAGTCTATGACAAAATTTGAGTATTTCTATTTCTTTGGGTCAATCTTGGAATTGCTCCACTGGATGGCCAGGGCGTTAAAATGAGACCAGCACTGGCTTCTTCAAGCTGTTAAAATCGGGACCATTTGAATGTCGCCTAAAATAAAATTCATTGTCCCCAAACTTGCATTGGGAAGACATGAGACATTTCATTGTGGTTTGAAGTGTAGGCTTGCATTTGGGAACGCAAAATCTAGCAGGAGGCGATACTATGTCAAAGTTGATGGTTCTACAATTCTTAGTAAAAATTTAATGGGATCTTAACCTTTAATTTAATCAAGCACCCCTAGCTCCAATTTTAAGCCCATGTAGAAGATAAAGGTATCCATTTGTTTACCAAAACCAAAGAACTAAACTTTCATGTTTTCTCATAGAAGATTAACCAATAGGTCCAATACTAATATACACAAGCAGAAGCCACCCGGGAAGAGGTCATACTGTGTCAAATCAACCATGGTTTAAGTAAAAATACTGAAGATATGATGAGAGAGAGCTTTGACCAATAACCATCATAATTGATCACCCTCTTTTTTTTCAGATAGGCAGAGACCACCTTCCATTTTCATACTTCTCTTTTCTCGTATAGAATGACAAGAATCATACCTGAACGCTCCCTTGGTTGCCAACTTTTTCACTGGTCTAAATGGTGAACCCTCTGAAGATCCCTTCTGTCTCCCCTTCTCCACCCTCACTCGAAGTCTCGCAAAAGCCCTAACGGAAGAACCCCATGGCATTGCTCCTGTTTGTAAATTGCGATCCTTAATTTCTTTTCTTTTAAATAATTTACCTTTGGTCTCTGTTTGTTTCCTCGCAGAATGGACGTTAAAATTTTCAGGCAGCTATTATTTCCATCCCGTCTGCAGCGAAGAAAACTTTTGTTTTCCGTCCCTCCTAACGTGATGTGGTGACGGTGACTGTAGGGACGGTCCAATTGAAATACAGGGGACAGCGAGATCCTTAATGCAATTACTAGTTTCCTAAGGTACCAAGAGGGTAACATAACTAAATCACTTTTAAGTTTTAAGTTTTAACCAATCAAAATAGATAATCTTTTTCTCTTTCCCCTCTTTTTCTTTTTTCCTCTCTAGTTATGCAAGAAAACACGTTTATTAACCCCAACTTTACTTTGAGGTGGTGGGACGGCGGGCCGGGTTTGAACTTCACTTTTATCAGAATTTGAATGGCCCAAACCACGAAGCCCGAGCCTAATACAGTATATAATTAGATCCAAAGCCCAATCCGTGAACAAATCTAGAAACGGCCACCTTAAGATTTTATTAAGCATTATCAAAAAAAATAAATAAAATTACAGGAGAAGACATAGCCCTCTGTCCCAAAGGATAACAAAACCTTTAATTGATTAAATAATTTTTTTTCTTAATTATTGTAATAAAATTTTCAAGACTAAACCACTTGTCCTTATTTCATGGCCAGAGGAGCGGGTCTGCAAAAAGAGTTGCATAGGGGCACCCACTCATTCATCGTTAAGGCTTCGTTTGTGAAAGTAAACTGGGCAGAAATTTTTTTCAGGATGAAAATTATCCAAGTTCTCGGCTATATCTCTCTGTCTGTCCAAGAAGCGGAAACACAACAAACACAGCCTAGGTTGAGATCAAGTTGTTACAGTTGAGATTCAAGCTTTAAAAATTTTTTATCTCCTATCCATGGTTCAAAAGTATCGATACGCCTCTGTGTATCGGCAGAGGTGGTACCTTGAACCATGCAGAAATATTTTTTTTTCAAAAATTGGTTTTTGAATAGTTTAATACCCATATTTATCATTAAAAAATAGTGAAGTCCTGAAATACCTGTAAATAGGCGTTTTGGGACCCAAAAGATACGATACGATACACCTGATACGGGGTATATCGTATCGAGTTTTTGAACCTTGCTCCTATCTGATGGTTGTTGTGCAACCGTCCATCAAGATTGAAATAATTAACAATGGGAAATTGTCTTAAACTCACCATGTTACGAATTTGACGTTAAACAGACTAACGGTTGTTAATATATTGCCATTTTACCCTTCATAGAAAAATATAAAATATATACATATATTTTAATATTTTAACTAAAAATACATAAAAAAGAAAACGTATTTTTAAATTATAGAAACTATAAAAATTGAAAAACAAAACCAGAAAATAAATATTATAGAAAAAACACCAAAAATTATAGAAAAACGCAGAAACTGCAAATAAATAACAAAAATTACAAGAAAATTTATAAAATGTAAAAAATAGAAAAATGTGAAAAAAAATGAATGAGTAGATATAGCTCTTTCAAACAAAGAACAGCACTAGAAGAAAGAGTAGAGCCAGAATCCCTGAGAAAATCAAAGAGGACGACAAGGACCTCTATCTTCTGAATCAACGACCTAGAATTCCTCCGTTGGAAGGGGAGCGCTCGATACGAAAAGGACGAGATCAACTCATTAGCAACGACTGAGAGCGTCTGAACTAGCACGGCATCGCTGAGTTGGACCGGAGCCAAGAAAACCTCTGAGGACGGTGTTCTTCTTCTTCGCAAAGAAGAGAAAATAGCAGCCGATGCCATAGATCCTAAGTTAAGGATTCAAAACCCTTTCTTCCTCTTTCTCTCATCCTTCTTTTGACAAAATGAGAAATCAACCTCAACCAAACCTTTTCCCAACCTTCACCTTTATAAACCTCTCATCCCTCGATTAGATTTCCCACATGAAAGAACAAAAAAGACTACTTTTTTTTATTCATGACCCGGAAATTTGAAGAAGAAAGCAATCTAATCTCTTCCAAAATCAAGATCTAAATCACCTCCAATATATTATAATTCGTATAAAAACAACATATATATATATATATATATATTGATGCGGCGCAATCCGGACACTCCTAACTGGCACTCGTGTGGCTCCTCGAAGACACCTGAGACCGGGAAGAATAAGAAGAATCCCTTGGGGGGCTGCCCGGCGGGGACACTCCAATGCTTAAGTCAGTACTCGGTAGAAGCAAGGGAAAGACGAAAGGCTAAGAGTGAGGATAGCGCGTTACCACTATATTCAAGAGGTCAAAGATTCAAGAAGAAGGTTCTCTTCTGCCCTGACGGCTTTTATAGGGACACTCACATTAGGTCGGGCATAACCGCCACTGGGC